TAAAGATGGCTTGCATGGCGCTCGCAAGAATCGGAAAGTCACTTTATGGGATTGCCGTGACCCTTGCAGCCAGAGCTGGACTGCGAATGGCTGGTCCATCGCTATAGCATACGCCCGCAAAAGAGTCCCGAAAAATGAAGGGATTGAAGCGTTGGCGATGTAAGGAAAGAGCAGCCGGACGTTGGTGCAAAACTTGTGGTTTTTTTTTTGCGGACGGTGAAGTGGAAATTTTATTTATCGGGGTCTAGTTTTTTTTTTTCTACAGGTTTTGTATATCAAAATGTTGTAATTTTTCTATTCAACTGAGTCCTAAGGGAACCCAGTCAACGTGAGGGACACCCAGTAAAACATTTACAGCAGAAAATAAACCCTGCCGACACAAACCATGAGCAAGAATTTACAGCAAGAGAGCAGGTATGCGGCCGATATGTCCTCTTTACGAACGCTACGAGAGAGCCGGGCTTAGATTTTAGTTGGGCGCTGTACTCAGGCGGCGATAAGTTTATATTATAACTCAACAATATATCAATATATTATAATTCTATTATAACTCAACAATATCACTTCTCTGTTCAACGTACAATTATAACTCAATAATATCACTTCTCTGTTCAACGTACAATTATAACTCAACAATATCACTTCTCTGTTCAACGTACAATTATAACTCAACAATATCACTTCTCTGTTCAACGTACAATTATATCTCAACAATATCACTTCTCTGTTTTATGTACGCCATTAACTCGCTAATATTTTATACATAAATTTCCGCGTATCATTGAAAACATCGCCAACATTTCCTTATTCTGCATGATATATAATATAAACAATTATGGATGGAGACTCGAGCATGTCTAGACACCCAATTCTCCACCCGTAGAACAGAGGCTTCCATGCATTGCACTTCCATGCTATCAAACCCAAGCGTCACATTTATTTTGACGTATCCTTATCATTACTAATTTATCAATCAGTCGCAAAAGAGGAGCTATCATCAATACTGTGACCCGACTAGTTATATCCTAACTTCAATTTAGCTCTGAAGGATGTATCCGTTCTCGAATTGTTAAAATTTATCCGTTCAAATTTAAAATTTTGAAATTATCTAATTAATACTTTATGTACCAGAAAAGTCTCATTGAATATTTTAAGAAAATTTTGGCTAAGTAACTTTACAGTCTTAATAATCATTTCACATCTTCCATCATCTTGAATATTTGTTTCAATATAATAGTTATACTTCTTTTAGAAGTATAACTATTATCAGTATAACTATTACTTCTAATATTACTATTAGAAGTAATAGTTATACTTCTGTTAGAAGTATAACTATTATACTTCTGTTATAGTTTTACTGCTGAAAGCCGACGCTGTACTCACTCTAAGCGAACTTGGACAACATCAAGCTAGCGTTCCCTCCAACTCGCCTGCCCTCCATAGTCTACCCCCCCCCCCGCCGTCCGTCACTTCAGACCTCACCCTTCCCCGCTGAGCTAGTGCCATTCTATTATCAATATAGTTTGTTTATCATATTTCTCGTAGACATCTAGACAACAGTACAATTATTTATGAACACGAATGCCTATTTATAATTTTTATTAAATTTAAATTTATCATGTCATAATGCCAGCATAAACTGAAAATAGATTTGTTTCCGTATCTCAGGGAAACGTACGTACTTTGTTCTGCATAGGTTTGCGTTAGCCTAAGTTCTGCAATTTTTTACTTATATTCACGATAAGAATTTATTCGACCCGGAACTTTGCGCCGTTATTTGAGCCTGAATCTAGCGAACAACTGTTGTGCAACTATGATGAACTATTGTGCATAAGTGAAAAAATTAAAACTCATTATCTCATTCTTGAGTTTGGCGCTACATTAAAATTTATCGTAGTTTTTCACAAGAGAAAATCTTGCAAAATAGATGCACTTTCGTTGTAAAGATTTTGATCCCCAAAAATCGCTATCGACATCTCTTCGATACGGAAACTCCCACTCGTGCATATCTACAGCGGAAGATAAATTCCCTCTAACTCTCTTCTGCCTCATTCGGTATCCAAAACTGCTCGAGGCTTCCACGTGAGATCAGCCTTTTGTTAGCGCAAAAAACACGAACTTTAGCGATCTATTTTCCGCCACAGGAAAAATGTTCCGCTGATGTTGGGCTCGCACCACGTGTAAATATGTTTTGAAATTAATTTAGACATGCGCTTAAACTTTCACTTAACTTTGCCTATCGGTTTCTAAAATGATTGTATTCAGCATTAATTTTTAGAAATTTTTATTTAACTTACACATAAAATAAATCTTGTTTGTAGATTATTCATTTATTTTCTTCGCTCATAATGCAAGAATATCGATTTTTTCTCTCAGTAAAATCACTAGGAGCTGACCACATATCCATATCCTTGCCGATTGCCCCAGGATTAATCGTCAGTTATTTATTGTCTTCTTCACAAATAAAATCCTGACGTGCTCCGCAGGTGTAAACACATTTCAGGGCAGTCTATAGTTGAGGTATGTAAAATGGGCGCCATTGATCAGGTGCTGGCGTGTTAGAGTTTTATTAGAGCGGCTATTTCACGGCGTGGGCGAGCTTTGGAGGCTGGCAGTTACAGATGAGGGCACTCTAGAGTCCAGAGCAACGTGCTCTGGCACTCTAGAGTCCAGAGCACCGTGGCCCTGGCACTCTAGAGTCCAGAGCAGTGTGGCCCTGGCACTCTAGAGTCCAGAGCAGCGTGGCCCTGGCACTCTAGAGTCCAGAGCAGCGTGGCCTCGGCACTCTGGAGTCCAGAGCAGCGTGACCACGGCACTCTAGAGTCCAGAGCAGCGTGGCCCTGGCACTCTAGAGTCCAGAGCAGCGTGGCCCTGGCACTCTAGAGTCCAGAGCAGCGTGGCCCTGGCCCTCTAGAGTCCAGAGCACCGTGGCCCTGGCACTCTAGAGTCCAGAACACCGGGGCCCTGTTATTGCCATTTCAACGCCTGCCTGCGTCCCGTATCCCACCTACATTTATTCCTGGCACGCTAGCGTTCAGTAACTGAGCCTCCACTGAACTATTCGAATATTTGACGAATGAAATAGCGTTATTCAACATTTTGGCTTTGATGTTTAATAATCGAAACATTGAAAACATATTTTTATGTCTAAAGGGCTCGAACGGTTAAGAAATTCTTTAAAAAAAAATAATAATTGCCAGTCTATCGTCGACGAGACTTTCTTGAGTTATTGATAGCGTTTTAGTTCGATGGAATCTCTAGAGATATCATTGTGATCACCGAATCATCTATCACTGCTGACCACCGTAGCTGTTCAGTTAGTCTCTTAATATAGCGAGACAATTGTCATTAATTATGACGTTAGTGACTCGGAGTGTTCGTAATAATTGATATCAATATTGCCCACCGACTAACTGATTTCAGAATCTCGAAGAAAAATTGAGAAAGCTTTTAACGAGTCGTCAATGATGTACGAAAGGCCACGATATTTGTGAATGTTATTTTTTTATACTTATAAGGATGTATAACTTATGAATTAAAATTACCAGCCAATAATTTATCCACGTGTGCTTATAATTTTATCCCTTTTCTGTCAATAGTTATGGTATGTCTCATATTTACGTAGGTCATTAGTGTTCTTTGTCTTCCAGCGAACACATCACGGAAAAAAACAACACGTGGTTATGGCCTCTTGCTGCACCTTTTATACCTGCACTCGACCTCAAATATTTCCTAGCGACAGCAAAGCAACAGGAAATAATTCACTACTGACATCGAGCTTAAAGCTTCTGTTCTCTCAACGATCTCTTACGTCGCACGCTGCTAATTCCGGCATGTCGTCGGCGTAATGGCGTTTGTTGCTGCGTTGTACGCAGCTTCCGAGGAGATATTTCAGGAGAGTTTTTCTCAACATGGCCATTATGGACTCCAAGGATTGGTCTGAAAACAGCAGCTACAATTTACCGACCTCGAAGCTGTGGTTTACAGAAGCAAGGCTACCTTTGAACTAAAATACATGCCCAGTCTGTGTAAATAAGGTCATGTTTGTATTAAGAGTATGGCTCCATATAATGACGTTGTGCGATGGTGTAGTGTAGTTTATTTATCATTCGACACGGCCACGTTTTATCGACAAATATTGTTGCTAATTTCTGTCGCTATTATTATTCTAATCATTATTATTATTATTGATATAAGAATATTATTGTAATTATAACATGCTAATAATATTTATAATAAATAAAATATTGATGATAAAAATAATAAAAATAATAGTCATAATAATTGTATTTTTATTTTATTTAAATATTGCTACATTAAAATTATTAATTTATTTTTCAATGGGATATTACAGTGCACAAAACTAGGCGGCACCCAACGGACTTCGCATAAATGTGTGGCATAAATACGCCAAACTACACATTAAACTTCTTCTTTTGTTTGAAGGAATTTCACTGTCATGTATAGAACAAGCTGGATAGGAAATTCTTTATCATAATAGCTTGATTATTTTGAGTTTGATCGTCTGCGCGGGCTTAATCACAGCCACAGCGTATTTAATTGTCAAACACTAAAACTTATATTGCAATAATTCTTCGCTAAATAGCTAGCAAATAATTTTCATTCTTCAGTAAGTTTCTTATATTCTCAGATACTTTTACCTCAAAGTATTTGAGGCGAAAAAATCGTTTCGTGATTCAGAAAATGGTTATATATTAAGGTAGCTGAGAAGTATTTTAACAAATAAATAGTTATGATATTAAGGTAGCTAAAAAGTATCTCAACAAATATAATTAATCCAGTCGATTGCATTTTATTGCCACGTTTACCCTAAGTTAGTCTTGGTGGTGAAGGGCTTATAGCGTCTGCTGGCCCGCAGAGCTCAACAGATGGCAGCCGCAGACGGCGGTCCATAGACGCGAACGCTTCATTGTTTTGCGAGAGAATTTTGCCAGCGTTTCATCGAGGGCTTTTGAACGCTGCATTTATTGCTCCACTTTATGACTCGCCGGCTGCTGGGGATTAGAGGTCGCGGCAAGATTGGGTGTAAGGATTTTATTGCTGGTAATAACAACCGACGGCTGGTATTATACTGTAACACAACAGCTGTGTTATATACAAGTATTGCACTCACATATATTTATGATATATATAAATATTTCTTAGAGCTTCCACTTGAGCTCATTTGCATTTAAAAAAATTGTTGTTTGTCAAGGTATTCTGTTTTTCTGATTTCTAGATTTTGCAGAGTCCACATGCATAAATCTACGGACGTTACTCCTGATATTTAATTACCCAAATGGAATGAACTTTCGTGAGAACGGACTCCAGCGTCAGTAAGGTGCACAAAAACGAATTAAACGTACTCAAAATATGTTTTAAAGTATAATATATGACTAAGAAACTATCAATATATTATTTTTTCATTACAGCAGTGCGCACGTCGGCCTCAGCAGCGCTCCATGAACGGGCCAAGCTACCGTGTGACGTCACCAGTCAACTGACCAATGACAGGCCGGTACTCATCTTGTGGTACAGGGATAACGCTGGAACACCCATTTACAGGTCAGTTGATGTACAATTTTGCTACTTATATTCTAGTATTTAGCAACTCGCTGTTTCTCTATGGTGCGGAGAGATCAAATTCGAAGACGACTTCATTCATTTATATCTGATAAACAGTCCGATACTTTATATGCACTAGAAACATTTTTTACGCTAAATAGATAATCAGGATATGGTTCGTTCTGGTGTTCGTGTTTAGGATCAAATCTGCTTTTCACGGGCACTGTAGTTTTTGTATAGAAATAGTAAAACATTCATTATAATTATATTATAAAATGCTAATTATGTAATAAAGAAGAAACGCTAAAAATGCCAATGGAATTCACTCCTTTTTATTGCTTCTCAGACCATATCCATCATCAGTTTGAAATTTACTGCAAACTACACCAGGAAAATTTAAATCGTTCTGCTAAATTAAACGATGTGACTGAAATCTAACCTGTGCGATAAAATTAAAAATAACATGGACATGAAAAATTGACACAATTCATTGAAAATCTCCTTCTGATAAAAGTTGAAGGCGTGACTTATACGTGTTATCTGGATACGAAAATATTTCGATTGAATTTCAATGGCAAGCAAGGACTTGTGATCAAAAGTAAATTTGGCCTGCCAAGCAAATGGGTGAAAAATTTGTGGATGTTTGTTTGCAGAACTCTTCGTAAGACAGGTTTTATTATAGGTAAGACTGGCTGTAAGACTAGTTGTGAGACAGTCTTTAATACTGGTTGCATGAGTGGTTGTAAGACTGGTTGTAAGAAAAGTTTAGATACTGGCTGCATGACTGTTTTTTGGACTAGTTGAAAGCATGGTTTTTAGACTAGTTGAAAGACTGGTTATTAGACTGGTTATAGAGCTGGGTGTCAGAAAACTAGTAGTTAAAGTGTTCTATACTGTAATAAAAAATTTCAACCAGCAAACGGCAAATGAAATAAACGTAATAACTCGATGAGCATATAACTACCGAAAAGAAATGATGATTGTAAATTTTAGCTCACCCTTAAGAAATACGTGCGCATCGAGCGTCATGGATTTTTTAATCTCTAATGTAAAAGTTCAGCTACTGTAACGTGAGCTGAAATAAATTGTGAGTTTTTAGTAATTAATTTCTTTAACAAAATTAGTTGTGTTCACGATTAATATTTTTGTTAATACTGAATAGAGGCAAATCCATAAATTGTTTGACGAAATGACCTGATCTTTAGCAAAATGACTTGATTTATATATACTTGGGAATATATCAATCAATAAAAGGTAATAGGCGTGAAAATGTTAGAAAATAACACTTTATTCATTGAGTTTATCGATGCAGGAAGAATAACAAACAAATTCTCTTGAAATGATGAAGAGAATTCAAATGCCGAAGGAAATAATGCGTCCCTAGGCACTCGCGAACACAGAACGTATTTCCTTCACTTAGAAAAAGCAACCTCGACTCAGGCTTGGAGACCAATAAGAAGTAAAATAAATGTCTGTACAAGAACTCTATTGTCCGGGAATGCCTTCACTCAAGAAGCCTGGGTCGTCATAAGAGTACTTCTGATACGTTCGATAAAAAGTTCAGCGACGTTCTTGCAGAGAAGCTTCAAGTGTCGTGCTTTTCTTACAGCTTACCAAAAAATGTTTAGTTTTGTCTGACAGAAAGCATGCTGCAAGTGCAGGGATTTTCTTACAGTAAAGGTTTGGTTTTCTTGCAGCGTCAGTAAGGGCCTTCAGACGAGCTAATGCTCTTTTCATTCTCGGCTGCCTCCTATTGGACAACTTCTCGAATAGAGTTCTTGTAGAGCACTTTTCTTGTTACCCTGTGTTAGGACAATTGCTTCCGGCCATTTCCCATGCTGGTGTGGCTTCTATATAATGGATGAGAGAGGCGAGTGCAGGTGCGAGCTAGGAATCCATCTAGATCCTTTCGTGGGAGGCAGTGACAAAATATTTTGTTATCATTGTGACAGGGCCTCCAATTTTTCTGTAGACATGAAAGCCTTTCATGACTCATTCTCTGTATATTTACTTCATCAAGGATCATGCGTCATTAAAAATTCAATGCTATTCATATTTTATTCATGAATTTTAGCACGAAGAAAGGCTGTGTATTGTTGACATGAGAGTGAAATAATGGCGACACGTGTTCTTCATGCCGAAATAATGGGGCGTTCTCGCATTGTACAGCGCTGAGCTCGAGCATAGTTTTATATTCTCTATAGAAGAGCTTTTTTCCATTGTTCTCACTGAGATCAAAGACTGTAGAGAAACTCGGAGCCTGTCCTTCAAACAAGGGTCAATCTTGCTCGTTCTGGAATGCTTTCATAAAACAATGTTATTTGCGTCTCGTAAATTCATTTTCTATAACACAATTCAGTTGTTTGTGCTACAGAATGGAAATATTGAGCCTCGAGCCTTGTAAAAGAAACTAAAAATTCATTTATTATTGAGTTAATGAATTTTTAGATCAAATTAAGACACGGCTTCTATCATTTAAGCGTGCGATGACTGCCTTTGTTTGTATATTCTAATTAATCTTACTAGTTTCAAATATAGAATCCTATATTAAAACGCAAATCAATCGTCATTGTCATTTATAGCAAGGAAATAAATTATTGTCTCGATAAGACCTACTATGGTCTGCGATGAACTTGTTTCTCATGAGGAAATCGTAGAAGAAAAACAAACGCATTGGTAGGTATGGAGTAACGCATACTTTTTCATCGATACAAATGTTCTAATGTCAAGGAAAAGCTTTCTCATTTCAAATAGCTTTATTATTGCAATAAAATTTACAGCTATCACTCATATTAATGAATCTATCTGCCTATATAACACTGCATCTGCACGAAGAAAGACTTCAATATAATTAATATCATAAATTTTTCATATATAACCATTTTTATTCTATATATAATTTACATCATTTGTATCGACCTCCAGAACAGGAATATTTCAGCGGAAAATTTATGGTTATTTCAAGCAATAAAATGAATTTTACTTAACAATATTTGTATTACTAGGTTAATATTCTTTATTTACTATGATTATATAACAAAATATTTAAAAAAATCGCATCTCTTGCTTTGCATTTTTTTTTTTTTGTTTACAACAATGAGTGATATGATGTCAATTTAGCTCCAGTTTGAGAATATATTTAATTTTGAATTTATTATAGTTTTGAAACAAGTTTCTTTAAACGGAATGCTTTTGCTAAAATTTAATACACGTTTAGAGTTCCTTTTGTGACGATGAAATTTTTTTTCAGTTTTGACGCCCGCAAGACCGAAGTGGACGACGGCACCCACTGGTCCGACAATCGCCTCCTCAACCAGCGCGCTTACTTCCAGTTCCTACCACCAACTCCCTGGCGAAACCAGCACCACTCCAGAGTTGTTTCTTCCTCCCAGTCATACTCCCCTGGAAGTGTATCTTATTCCCCGTCAAGTTCCCCATATTCCCCAAGTGGTGTCCAAAACTCCGGTAACTTAGGAACCAATAAAGGCTTGGATGATTCATTCATGCCGGTCTCGTCGTTCGCGGCGTTCGCCTCTCACGCGGGCCCCGATGTGAACCCCATGGGGGCCCAGCTCGAGCTGTACCCTGTTGAGGACCGAGACCAGGCCGTGTATCGCTGCCGGGTTGACTTCCTCCTCTCACCCACCAAGAACACCATCATCAACTTCACTGTCATCAGTAAGTATGACTATTAATAATTTTATTGTTTAATAATATTTTCTAACCGCTTTTTAGTTCCTGTTATTCGCAACCGTTAGTAACCGAGCAACCGTAACCAGTTGCAGTAATACCTACTTTACCATACTATGATGAACGAAGCTGCCTGTTTTATGACTATTTTTAAAGAACGTGTATGAGTTATACTGATTGAATCACATCAGTACTACGGTAAACAGTGTTTAATTACCTGAGGTTAAAAGTTTTTACGACAACTTAAAGCGCGGTACTCAAATTCAAAACTGCCGCGCACAGTCTTCATTCTTCAATCCTTGACATCTGTTTCACAGAGACAAACGTTCATGCGATTCTATAATTAAACTATTCTGTTTAAAATAGGTGTCCACATCATAAATCTATACACTAGTGAAATTATTGTGTCATAAGTTACCATTTAAATCTATTGGTTCCCGCAAACAAGATTCCAGTTTTATTTATTGAAGAAAAGTGGTTAACCCGATGGCTCGAGGAAAAGCTATTAATTAATATTTATTAATATTGAATTAAAAAATTAGATATACGATCACACATGTATATACTGTCCATACATACATACATATAAATACACACACACAGTTGATGGCGCACGTCAGCGAAGAAGAACGACGACTGCTCGAGTTGGTGGATAGCTTAGGCTTCAGGTGCATCGATGCGCCGCTGTTGATAAACATGTTATTGCGCACAGACGACGTCTCTTCAGAAGGTCTTCCTCAGAAGGCTTCATTTCAAGCTTCCGCTGCAAATCTAACAAAATACGTTGTGCTGTAATTTTATTATGTAGGCTCAAAATTATAATGTCACAATAATTGAAGTCATTTGCTGTCTCGTTATAGTTCATATTTTGTGGTCGTCGAATATCAATTTTCTTCTGAATTGTCTGATTTATTTGTTTCACTGATGTGATGCGTTTTCTCGTCGACCTCGCGGCCATGTTTTTCTTCGATAAATGTTAAAATTTCCAAATTGGTTGAAATTAAATTTTACGCAGCTCTTAAACTATTCAATCCGAACGAAGTATGTATGTCAGACTTGGGAGTCGTTTATAGCTTATTTTCACTGATAATGCGAATTAATCCGCGATTTAACTTTATTTTTATGAATGAGCCTAATATTTGTAGAATAAATCTGTGGGCGACCGCCACTCTGCAGCTCTGGAGGCAGGATCTGTAGGTGACCGCCACTCTGCAGCTCTGGTGGCAGGATCTGTGGGTAATCGCCACTCTGCAGCTCTGGTGGCAGGATCTGTGGGTGATCGCCACTCTGCAGCTCTGGTGGCAGGATCTATGGCCGGGTGACCGCCACTCTGCAGTTCTGCAGCTCTGGTGGGTGACCGCCACTCTGCAGCTCTGGTGGCAGGATCTGTGGGTGACCGCCACTCTGCAACTCTGGTGGCAGGATCTGTGGGTGACCGCCACTCTGCAACTCTTGTGGCAGGATCTGTAGGTGACCGCCACTCTGCAGCTCTGGGGGCAGGATCTGTAGGCGACCGCCACTCTGCAGCTCTGGGGGCGGTTGGAGTGGCACCATTCAAGTGTTTGCCTGAACCGCGGCGGCTGCGGTCAATCGTTGCGAATGGAGCAGGAATATTTTTCAATATTTAATAAAGTTGTTGCTTTTTTGGAGACTCGCTTTTCCTCTAATGCTTTTGTTTTGCTTTCAATGTTCGTCTGAAGTTAATACTAAAATGATTTGACATTAAAGTTATTACATTAATAATCAAGGCCTTTCAATAATTTGGAATCGATGAATCGTCGTATCATACAGGTTAGGTGATACTTTTCAGTATAAACTCGTCTTCAGGTTTACTGGAAAATATCCCTAAGTTATGCCATGCACCATCCTCGCTGAGATCTTCTCATTGCAAGCCAGTTGTATTGACCTAACGATAGCTATTGGGAACATTCTTATAGATAAATCTTATCGAGATTTGTCAAAGTTTTTCTGTTTGCATGCGAGTTCAAAACCTGGCTAATGGTATGGAGGTTCTCCGAGTGCGTATCCAGGATAATTATCGTGACTGGATATTACCTAGACTGGAAAATGTATTCTTTGTGGGGGAATATAAAGGCATAACAAAACTCGGAGAAGAAGATTGGATCTGTAATGAAGCTTATTGCTTCCTTGGGCTCATTTAAAACTAGTGTGAGGTTCTTTCCTTAAAACACTCCTATCAACCAACAAGTGTTGATTCAAACAGGACTAAGTGGAACAGTTAAAACATTAATACAAAAGTAACGTAATCAAATGAACACTAGATGGTTGCACTTAGTATTATAGATACAATGTAAAGTTGGCAGCTTGACCGTCTCAACATGAGATCAGGATTCCTCCTTGATCTGAGATCACCCCAGACGGGATCTTCAAACCCAACCTTCAACCTGGTCTACGGTCCTCTCTCCAGAAGCACACAGACTCCAGCTCAGCAACCCTACACGTAAAACAAATCATATTTCAAGCCTGACCAGTTTTTTTCGTTAAATGCGAAATGACAATCACAGTTTAATTAATTCCTCATTTATGTACAATTATACTCAATCAATAAATTCACTACTATGTTCGCGGTATAAATTAGTTGTGTAACTCACCAATAAAGGCAGTGCTTGTGAGTTATGCTAAAGTCCCTAAGATGCGCTACAGCAAGTTGACAGTGCCATTACATGGCTTGCCACTGTATAACTACTGGCTTCCAACTGCCATGTCAGCGGTCGATCCCTACTGTTGTAGCCTCCCATTCAGTGCCTTCTAGAACTTATATTACATCCTTTATTTTATATCCTTCCAGGATCAAGGCTTGAAATTTTTTCAAGTTTTCATGCACAATTTAATTTAAAAGATGCAAAATCAGTTAACTTTTTTTCCAAGTTCAGGCGGGTCAAAAGGGTTACATGTACTTTGTTAAATGCAGTTGTAAATGGGTATATATCTAATCAGCATAAATCATCCTTATCATTGATTACAGGATTAGGGATGAAGTTATTCCAAAAATGCAGAAATTATCATTCCCGGACAACGTCGGACTATTCGCCACTATTATACATCACCGGTACCTAAAACTCTCTCATTTATTTTCTTTTTTTTCCTATGAGTGATCAAATTTGTTGTTTTTCTCGAGTCAGTCATACTAGAAAGTACCGCATCACATTATTTATATGATATAGATAAAGCGATCGAGACACAAATTTTTTTAAATGGCACTTATTCACATGAGCACATTAGCGCTAAGCCTTATTGCGGCGACAAGTTTATTTTCCGTCAAGTTCTTGAGGATTACAGCGACTTGCAGCACAAAATTCCCGGGTGGACGTTTAATTTAAATATGCTAAGTAGGTTCACTACATTTTCGTGCTACTTACACTTATATTTAAACTACATCATCTGAAGCAAAATTGGTTGTTACAAACATAAAACTGCACGTATCTTTTTGTTATTAATTTATTTAGCTCTGAACCTAACACTCTTGACTCTATTATACATGTTCATACAAATGAATTTCAAACTTGATCGATAAATGAGTAAAATTTTGCCGTTATCGAGCTCAAATAATCAGTTTTCTCTTCGTCGATAAATCACGGAACAACTTTCAACTTATTTCACCTCAAAATCAGTAGACGGACGTTCATAGTTTGTGGATTTATCAATCCATCGAATATTGCATGACAAAGAGATCAAAATTTTCACAACAAAGAAGTCATGGTGATGCAATATCAATACGATGCAATATGCCATAACCGAGGCAATACAGGATCTTATTACTGGTTTGACAATAATAGTAATAAGATTGAATCTCAATCATATCACTATATTGCATCACCAGCACGTCATACTGCTGTATCACAACAGTACATCACGATATAGCATAAAATCAGTGCATCATAGCAGTGCATCTCAACACTGCATCAAATCAATGCAACACAAAAGTACATCACAACACTGCATGAAATCACTGCATCACAGCACTGCATCAAATCAGTGCATCACAACAGTACATCACAACACTGCATCACAACAGTACATCACAGCACTGCATCGCAACAGTACATCACAGCGCTGCATCACAACACTGCATCACAACAGTACATCACAGCGCTGCATCACAACAGTACATCGCAGCGCTGCATCACAACACTGCATCACAACACTGCATCACAACAGTGCATCACAGCACTGCATCACAACAGCACATCACAGCACTGCATCACAACAGTACATCACAGCACTGCATCACATCAGTGCATCATAAGACAATATTTCCCGCACGTCTCTTGCGAGCGCACGATGCCACCTCAAGTAAGGTGCTGCCTATGAACCTCACGTCGCCTGTTGGCCACTAAAATGACTTGAGGGAAATACCGCCGGCGCCACTGAAGGCTTTACTGAGGCTTAAATTCGGAACTGTGCTGCCATCGTTGCGGCCTTGACACTCCGACGTCACTGCTCATGTGGATCACGCGCCAACGGTGCTTTGGTCGCCGTGTCAATGACGAGAAGTCTTCTGTCTTGTAAGACATTCGCTGTCCCGTGATGTCTTTTGGTAATGTAATGAGAAGAGTTCTGATATGCAAGCTATTCTGAGACGCAAGGTGCGTTTATGTTGACTCTTTATTTGGACGTCTCGTGGGTTGACCTCAGGCATTTCTTTATTCCTGATGCGTGGATTTATGATATTTTGTAGAGCTCTGGTTGTTTAAAAGCTCCTCGTCCTCATGTCATTAGAAGTTCAATTTTTTAGACTGATGATGCGCTTACAAAAATAAATTTATTCTTATCTTCTTTTATCAAGTTTCGAGAGTTAATACCATCGCTGGGCTAATGTATATCAGTCAAAAATTTGTTTATATATGCATTACGATTTTTTCGACGTAGCTCTTTAACCCGCATTAGCATCTTCTTCTCTTCACTATTCCAAGCAAACGCTAATGAAGAGCATCAAAAGATCCATCTTTTCAGAGGCTCATGTCAAA